CTTTAATGCACGCATTTACGCGTTTGTTGTCTCGGCAGTAGTCTGCTGTTTGAATGTGTCAGTTTTCTATTACTGTGTAACACATTACCAGAGACTCGGCAACCTGAAACGATGCATGGTTTGTTCTCCCCCAGGTCCCCTGGGTGAGGAGTCTGGGCAAAGCTTACCTGGACCCTCTGCTTGGGTCTCACAGGACTGCAGTTAAAATTTCTGGAGCTTGAGGTTCTCTTGCAGACTTTCGTGATTGTTGGCAGAATTCAGTTCCTTGTGGCTTTAGGTCTAAGGTCCAGCTTTCTGAAAGCTGACTGCCAGCCAGGGACCCATTGGGCTCCTAGAGGTACCTGCGTTCCCTGTCCTTGTGGTCCTCTCACAAGTCCTTGGGTAGCGTGGCAGCTGACTTCTTCAAAGCCTGCAGGGCATCTCTCTGACCCCCAGCTCCTCAGATACAGGGCTCTCCTGATTAGGTCAGGTGTAGTGGGGTAATATCCCTTTCCTTATCTCTAAGTCATGTGCCTTAATTATGTCTGCAAAAGTTCCTTTGCCTTTGTAACGTAACAAGACCTTATCACAAGAATGACAGCTGTTATACTCACAAGTACCACCCATATGCTAGGGGAAATTATACAAGGGATGCCTGGAGCCCTGGCAGCACCTTAGACTTCTGACCCCCACAGTTCTCAGTGATGAATGTGAAGGAGACCCTGTGAATACTGTATTTGGCCAGGACTTTGAAGGTTTTATTGTCAGGCTTGACACTTACAAGTGCGTCCAGGCAGTGGAGCCACCAGGTGACTGGAAGTCCACATATGTTTATCTTTGCTGAACACAGTTTGGAATAACTCCGATAACGAAGAAAAATGGCAAAGTGGAGAGAAATTCAGAAAGTCTGGATGTTTAGAAAATCAACGACAAGCCAGAAAAGCTTCTTGAAATCCATTTCCAGTTCTCTTTACCACCTTTGGGATTTTTATACCAATCAACAGTATGAAACGTCCCATTGAAACAAAACATGCTAGATTTTTGCTTCTCGGTGCTACAAAATTATTTATTTTTTCTGTATTTAACTTTGAAGTAATATTTTGTTTGCTTCAGAAAAAGGAAATCATTATTTGTAGTCTTTCTGTTTAAAAAATTCGATACTCCTTGAAAATATATTGAAATTAAAATTTTGATTCATTAAGAGGAAGCTAATCAGTCATTAATCTGTACAGTAACTGTGGAACAGTTGTGCGTAGATAATTATCAAAAGAAGTTTTAACAAGGAGTGTGTTTTTAAAGTAAGATACAGAACCAAAGTTGATTTCAAAAATAGAAGGAAAGATAAATGCTCTCTAACTTTTAGCATAGCATTTTGAAATTTCATCTGGCCAATTAAGTATATGAAACAAATTAACCAAAGCATACATTATGCATGTGGAGAAAATATTAAAGTATATAATAAGGAAATGCGCTCAATATGAGTCTTTAAAAATTGAAAACACAAAGTAATTTTGCAATGGATGACAGCCTTAGGGTTCATGTCGCTTGACTATGATAAATTCAGATGGTTATATGTGGTGTGGGGTGTTGTTCTTGCCTGCTGGTGATATTTCTTTTCTCTTTAACCCTTTCAAAAGGGATTTAAATTTTGCTGTTTTTTAAATTCATTTATTGACTTGATCATTCTTAATACTTGTTATGGCCTAAATGTCACTTACAGTTCTTTTTTGAAAGGGTAAATAGTAGATTTAAATCATGTCTATATTTCTACGGTATTTAAAATGACATGGTTAGGAAAACCTGAACTTCTCAGGGAAATAATGACTCCTTCTTGAGTCCAACCATTTGCTCTCTTTAATAACCTTCATTCAGATACTGGATTTCATCAGCTCTTCCTTTGTCCTAAAAAAAAAAAAATCTGCCATCTTCAAAGTTTGGATATTTTTCATTTCTACTCTATTTCATGACACATAGTCTAATTATTTGGCCGAGTTTAAATTAGTTGACTACTTGACAACCTAAAAATTGATTTGCACAAAAGTGGTTTGAACAACGTAGGAGATTATTTACATTTTGGTAGCTGTCTTTTTACTTTAATTTTTTTTTTTCTAATTTGAAATCTCCTCCCTGGGGTAACTACATGATGACACCACAGCTTAGATTACTCGGAGTGGGCATTCACCCACAGCCCCCGTGCACCCTACGTTGGAACATTGATGTGGTAAGACTGGTTGCTGATTCACTGAGCAAACAAATACAATTTAAAGTCACTTGACTTAGTGACTTTGTTTTTAATTCCAATCACAAATGAATATTGATCTAGAAAGGATCTGATTCGCATTTGTCCAGTTAGTAAGAGATCACACACCCCTCCATACCGTATTTATTTCTGACTGTGCAAATGTCTCTCCCAGTTTGCAATTTGTTTCTTTCTTTGCACTCAGAACCCCAAGTTTTGCTATGTCCAGGCATCTCTTAGTACAGCCACAGATAAAATAGAAAAAGTAGCTTAAATACCTGTTCAGACCTTGGTATGTTCCAGAGCTTTGGACAGATCTGGGGTGGGGGGAAGCAGACGTGGTCTCTGTCACAGTGACACTTGGGAAGTCACGGTGCAGAAGCACATTAAGAAAATCTGTGATCAGAAACAACAAGGCTGTATTTAGATATAGGCCAAACTAACTGAATTTCTGGACAGAGCTATGCCGGAGTGACTAGCAGTTCTCAGTACCAGTTACATGCTAATATCATCGTTATTTTTGTTACTTATTTTTCCAGTTCACCCAAATCATTCTCTAGTCATGGACAGAACACAACACAGGTAGACAGGTGTGAGTAGAATAGAGTCCATCTCTTCTGACATCAGTGCAGACAGATTTTATGCTGCAAACTTAAGAGAGCTCAGAGTCATCCTCTTGTGTGGATATGAGGAGTCATTTCTTTTATTTTTATGCCTGAGTTTTCATTGTTTTAATTGGCACCTAGCAAGCTGAGAGATGCCTCCAGCTGTGTGTGTCAGTCAGCGTGGCTGCCTGGAACATTACAGATTCATCAGTTACGGGCGACGCTAGGACCATTATTTTCTTCCCAAAGTATTTCCTAGGCTGGAAATGTTGTCAAAACCTTAGACCCAGTAGTAAAACCAAATTTTTATTTCTTGTATTTTCTTGATAATAAAAGTAATATATGTGCATCATAGAAAAGACAAAGAAGCAAAAAGAAGGCGTGAGAACCACGCACATTCAGAGAGAACAGCCGCTGTGGTTGGTACACACAGTAGGGCCTCTGTGAG